TATATATATATATATATATTATGATTAAATTAGTAATATTTATAAATAAAAATATGTTTATAATATATATATATTAAATTAGTAATTATAAATAAAAATGTTTATAATATATATTATAAACATATATTATAAATATATATTATAAACATATTTTTATTTATAAATATTACTAATTTAATCATTAATATTGTTATTAATGTTTGTTATATTATTTTCTAAATATTATTAATATTTGTTACACTAATTTTTACACTGTAGATGCAAAACAGTGTATTTTTAGAGAGTTAAGTAATTTTCTCGCGAAATAAAATAACAACTTATGTATTCTATTTTTTCCTTTTTTTTTCAGTGTTAAAATCGCTCTTGGCGAACATTTGACGATATATCGATGAGTCACGTCATATGCATTTATCATTTTACCTCTGCGATTGCTTTTCTGCCTTTTGATTTTGAAATTGTCGTACGACGGCAGGCATTATCAAGCCAGAATAATTCGAACGGAAGTGTTACAATTGTCAACTGATAACCAAAGAACGAGTCCACAGGGATCGTTAACGAAGATAATAGGCCCAATTAAAAAAGAGAATGGAACAGAATGCCTCGAGCACTGCTTCTGATTTCATGGCCATCGCTTCCCGATGCATTGGCTGCGTCTGCTGCATGCAAACGAATCAATTATTTATACTTATAGTCGGCGAACAATATACATTCGGAAAAATGTTCGTATTTCAAAAGCATTTATACAGGCAATAATTATCTCGTGAAGGACTATTCGTCTCAGCGTTAAAATTTACTTTGTTTCGAGAAGGACATCTTGCGGTGGTCTCACAAATCTTCAAGGTTTTTCTAACTTGCCCCCGGAAAACATCTTTCGGGTCGTCTGCCAGCGATTTATTTAGGACATAGCGATCACTTCGACTAAAGTGATATAGCTTCTCTGTAAATTCTGAAATAATCAGAACCTGTTCAAATGGTATTTAGTTCAATGAAATTTTGTTGATCGTGTTTCTCTAACATGTGACTTGGTTTAAAGCAATCACCAAGTACAGTATACAGAGGTTAATGACACATAACCTCTTGAAAAATTTCCTTCATCATTTTATAAAATTTTGGTTAAGAAGCAATAAGAAGTTTAGTTTATTCGAATAATAATTCGACGATACTGATTCAACTGACTGCCTCTATTCTCAGGAATTTCTTTTTTTGAAATTTTATTTATTTACAACACCTACATTATAATTATCAGCAACTACAAAAAATTTTATAATTTTTAGCTGTCACCTTTACAGCCAAGTGCAAAGATGTGTAACCCATTTCATGAAATACGTAGTTACATTTGAAGAAAAATATCCTTGACATAAAATAAGTTTCACTTGAGACATTTTGTTCTGCAACGAATAGTTTGGGAAATAATTGCGTGAAACGTTGCAAATGGGACACTCTTTATATAAAAAACAAGAAGCAAAAGGTCTAAGATCAAAGGTCAAAAGTGAAAAAGACTGATAAACTGAGAAAACTCTTAGCATTGCGTAACGTTGGAAAATTTCTACATATGAGCCATTTATTTTATTTTATTTGAAAGTCACTTTTCCAAGAAGATCAAGTTAGCGATTAGATTAATTGACAATTCCACGTAATAGTTTAGTTTTAAAGCAATCTGCAGCCAATACTGAAGTTGAAAGCCTCTGACTGTGAGATTTTCTTGATACACTAGTTAAGTTTTTCTTGATACACTAGTTAAGTAGTCCTCAACAACTTCCTGGCAGGATGTTTGAAATGAGAGTGTAAGAAATATTAGTTGTTAGAATTATCATCATAGAAGTTTTATAAATAATTGTACAATTTGTGATAACTGAGCCTGTTAATATGACAATATCATGAAGAAATAATATTTTTCAGCCATGACTCCAAAAATCACCAGAAAAATCACCAGATAAGCTAAGAAGTAGAAGATTTATATCATTAGAGGGGAAACTAGGAATTCTTGATCGGTTGAAATCTTGATGAGTGATAAGTTAACATCTATTTGCAAGAAATTTAACAGAAATGTATCTAACCTAACTCGCACAATCAGGAAAAATGAAAGTAAAATAAGAGCTACAGCTTTCTGCCACAGCGTCATCAAGTTCAAAGAAAGATCTTTTATTAACAAAAAAACAGAAAACTGTTTAATTATATGGATAGAAGATTGCAACAGGAAGGACACTCCTTTGAATATTTATTTAGTTACAATTTTTTGCGCTCTTGGATTAGTACATCTTGTTTCAAAAATTCATATATATATATATATATA